AGCCTGGTCCAGCGAAGGCTCATACTGCTTAGCGGTGATGGCTGAGATGGCGGACGTAGTTTGAACATGGGACAGATATTTCCCCCAATGTATTGTAACACCCAGAATAATGCAAAAGCTATAGATTCTGACAAACTCTTGAAAGGAAACATGGCAATAAAGCGCAATGAGTATCGCAGGTAATGGCACAGAATGACTCATTTACACTGCCAAGCATGTCAAAGACCGCTTCTAATCGATCTCTACTGCGTATTGCATATTGATATAGAGGTGTGCGTTTTCAGCATAGTCAGAGCACGGAATCCGGGAACTTCATTTCCAGAGACTCTATGAACTATCATATTATACTGCTCTCAAATCACGAAAAACACTGCTCGATCAAAGGCGCAGAAAACAATCACATTGTCGGCAGTGTGTAATAGTGCCATCGCTCGAGGCCAGGGGGATTCAATCGGTATGCAATTCAACTGCTAAATATATGGTGTTTTTTTATACTATCGATATCAAAGAACAGCAAATGTTAGTTTTTGTTGACGTGATAATGTTTCATCGTGGGCTGTGTTGGCGTGCAACCTTAATCCAAGCGATAATTCTTTCGCAATGTAGCAGACAATAAAACTAATTTGCAATATTTTCTCCTTTGATACAGCTGTGTAATAGTATTTAAAGACCGAAAACAAGTTGGAAATGAAGCATCAGTTATTAATGTCTACATGATAGGACCCCATAAACAGACGAAATATTCCCCGTGTTCCATGTTGCGGCAGAACGGGTCGCCGGGGAGACGTTAACCCCCACCTCCAGGTCGCCATCTTCTTTTGATGTTCTCATCCCTCCCAGGAAATAGCTTTTGATCAAGCATATTAGCTTATTACACAACGTTCCGCCTATTAGCTGGTGGAGTTGCCGAAGTAGGTGATGTGGGAGAATAGGCTTCTCCGATGTTACAGAAATACATCTGCAATGACAGAAGTTTACGGCGATGATTGTACTAGTAAATAGGTCATCCGATATCTGACAGAATTACCCAACAAAAGGACGGGGTATTTCTACGTTAATCTACTATATCTTGTAAGTACCAAGAAGGCTCAGGGTTGGTATAGAGCTGTAAACTAGACTTTCCTCCCTAGTATGGCAAGTTCTGACAAGTTCTGACAAGTCCTTCAGAACTGATACACCACATATACCGTCTTCCCCCAGACTGTACACACTTCCTTATAACAGTGACAATCACGGGTCAATTTTCAGACAAACCCCTTCCGTGGCAGCGTCAGATCTTCACGTGTATGTGTGTGGCTTGAGACCCGTGGGTTAAGGTGAACTGACTTGTGTGTGAGCCTGACCCGAGTTGTTGGGAAGATGATTTTTGTAGTATCCATCAGTGAATTGCGATCTCTTATTACATGGAAGCTGTATCGCACGTCGTTAAGGCCATCAAGACACCACGGCCCGACCAAATGCAAGACATTATTTGCAAAACACAGGAAACTCAGGAAGGAAACCATTTGTTTGACTTTATCAAACAGCAGGAACTGTACCAGCTTACCGTGTGCTGATAGGCTAGAGACTGCTATCGGTGTATTCTCACCTAATATGGGGGTCGGAATTGTCCCTGATGAACGACTGGTTAAGTCTGATAGCAAGCCAAATCCGCGAACGCTGACTGAAATGGTCAAAATAAGTCTGATCATGACCCGGTACTACTTTCATGAAGATTATGTCAAGGAATTATAAAGGAATTTGAAAAACAATGTTACAAGTGTAATAGACCAACATGGAAAGAATCGTGAACTGTAACAAAGTCCTAGGTTACCTGCTGATGAATTAACATTACCTCATCATATACTGACACTATTTAACTAAGTCATAACTTGTTGTAGGAACGAAGTACATTTACAAACGTTTGAGGTGGCGCAACAGTGTAAAGTATAACATAAAGGTCCGCCAGTATAAAGGTGTTCAGTGAGTGAGTGAGTTTAGTTTTACACCGCACTCAGCAATATTCCAGCTATATGGCGGCGGTCTGTAAATAATCAAGTCTGGACCAGTGATCAATAGCATGAGCATCGATCTGCGCAATTGGGAACCGATGACATGTGTCAACTAAGTCAGCGAGCCTGACACCCGATTCCGTTTGTCGCCTCTTACGACAAGCATGGGTTACTGAAGGTTCAGTCTAACCCGGACCTTCACGGGTTATAAAGGTGTTCAGAAGGAAAGGACTTGGTATACGTGGCATCGATCTTTAACCCATGTGTCAATGGCCGTCAGAGAGATTCCCTTACCAAACATATACATTCGGCAGCTGTACACACATAGATGGTATATCATTGTGTGGCAGAGACATTTGTCATGGTGTTTTTAATAAGTTAGTTTGTTTTGTTTGTATGGTACTATTTTATAATTATTTCTAATTATTACTGTTTTCTAATGGTTGTAGTTTTAAGCATGTGACAATCACGTTGACATTTGTTGTATTTCATTCATCCGAAACCCATATTACGGTTATGATGCAGAAAATATGCTGGATCAAGAGTATGGTCTCATTCTGGATCCAGGATGGAATTTGTTCCTAATTTGATCCTAATTCGTAGCTCCCAATTGGCTTATTTCAAATTAACATAGTCCCCATGCACCAATCTGACCACCCCTGTGATAGGACTGTAAACAGTATGGCACAGCACAGCACAGCACAGCACAGCACAGCACAGCACAGCACAGCACAGCACCCAGGCAACAAGGCAACATCGCAGGTGGCAGTAAAATAAAAACTTGGAAGGTTTTACTGCTAAACACCACCCCTCTATCAAGTAATGACTACTCAAGTGATTCTTTACATTGCCCTTTAGCTTGTACAGATGGTTTCACTTTTAAGGTTTGGTCACTTCCCTTATAGTTTCTATTTTTTAACCATTCACTTTGGTGAGTGTACTGGTGCTGTAATGGTAAGGCAGTTGGGTCTGTTAGTCATGGAGGGACTTCAAGGAGGAGGGGGTCCAGAACAGGGTGAGCAGCCAGGGTCAGATACAATGCCAGATTTAGAATCAGATCCATGTCTCGCTGGTCTTAGTGGCAGTTTGAAGCAGATGGGTGTAGTGCCTGTATTATATTTTAAGGATTGGATGGTTTCCTATTTACAATCGATAGGGAAGTTGTCGGGTGATAGTCAGTCTAGCCGTGATGGTACTTTAGGTGGAAAAGGTTTTCAGTTCACACCTGATAACCAATCTGTAGTTACCTTACGTCAGACCCCTAAATTGTCATCTTTCTTTGGCGAACCTGGTACAGGTGAGGCTTCTTGATCATATGACGCTATGAGGTAGAGTGTCTCTTGGTTGAGAGTGCTTATCCTGACGATGTCATATCTGAGGATGTACGACGCTCTCTAAAGGGAAAGGCTTCACTCTTAGGTCCACAGTCTACCATTGATTCATGGTTAGCTAAACTATAGGTCTTTATAGTAGTTGTGGGGCAAGATGGCAAGATTCTATAGTGCCCAACAGATGGCAGAAAAGGACGTTTCCTCTTGGGGTTGCAGACTTGAAGACCAATATGCCTTAATACAGATTTGAAGGATGTGTCTGGTCAAAGGTTTGACTACTTTTATTGACTGTCTGAATAAACCGCACCTCACCCCTACAGCGAATCACGTGGTTACTAAAACAACTGTAACAATTACATATTAACCATAAGTGTAGGATTATAATCTGTTCTATTTCTAATATTTGCACATGTGCGTTTTAGCGATTGGTCAGAGGAGGTTTTATGACGTCACCATGCTTCGTTGTTAAAAATATACGATATGGCGGCACCCATTGTTCATGACATAGCAAATTATTTACTGTACGTCATCTGGGATCAGTGCTTTGCGACAGTCGTAAGTCTTTATACTACAGACGTGGATGTTTAAAGTTCTAGTCTTTAGGCCGTCCGTATTTTTTTCTGTGTTTCTCATCTCCCGATCGACCCAGACTTTCCTTCCGACGGAAAAAAACAAACAGTTTTTTTATTTTACGAAATGCCGCCGACAACATTAATTTCAGCCCGATAAAACGAAAAATGTGTCTCAAAAGTCAACTTTGAAAAAAATATAATATTTTGAAAAGTCTCTCAAGCATCTAAATTGGCCACTCGCCTCTTTCCGTGACCTACAAACGCCATCCGTCTTGCCGGAATGAAACGAGTAGTTACGAATGCTAAATGGGCGATCTTTTTGAATTCATCTTCCCTTCACTAATCCGCTTGGAGCGCTGATCCGGACGGTCAAAAAAAATGTGGATGGCCTTAGTGTAGTTACCCCAGAATGGTTGAGATTTCACACGAATCCTTTAGTATAATTTTCTATTTGTAGATAATACTGTAATGAAGAAATATGTATTTTAAGAAGCCCTCTTTACAATTTGTACTTGAAATTGACTTGTGTATATGTGCAGACTTGGTCCCATCGTTATATGGCTGAAAAAGTGTTAATGCGACGTAAATGTCAATGTCAACTCACTCACTCACTCACATACTCACACACTCACTCACTCACTCACTCACTCACTCTTTATTTCTCCTCTTAAAGTGTTAACGTATAGTAAACTGCCGAGCAAAAGAACGTACATGTTAAAGTGTTACAAGGTGGTTAAACTGAAACCAGTCGAAGAAGCGCTGGAAAGCTAAGATGGAATCCGAGAAGGGAAATTGTCGCGTTGTCGCATTGACGCATTGTCGCGCTTTGGTTAATTTTGCCTCATTTTGCTTGTATTTGAGAGGGCGACAACGCGACAACGCGACAATGTCCCTTCCAGGATTCCATAATGATGCCTGTATCACACACGTGAACATCCACCATCAAACATGGGTGTATACTTTGTCCGACAGTTTAGAATAAACTACGCCAAACTCAGAATAACTGATTAACTGAACCTCTGACTGAATGCTGAAAGGATCGGGGAGGGATAGAAAGTTCGTAATTTATCGTAGCGCATTGCTTATTGTCTAACTATGTATTGCAGATGTACGCCGTACAGCGCCGCTATGTGAGAAAGTACCGACTGTCGGACTCGGACTACGATGACCACGATGACCATGAGGATCAGGAGGACGACGGGGAGTGTACGAAGTTTCTGACATCTTTGAAAAGAGACTGGAGCGGCGTCCCTGAGATGCTGCTGGAGGATATCTTCACCCTGCTGACGCCCAAGTACCGCCACGTGGCGTCCCAAGTTTGCAACTTATGGCGCGCCACGTTCTACTCTCCCCGTGTGTGGGAGACTTTCACCCTGTTAGAGAGGACCCTAACACGCCGTATCTTCAACCTGTACAAGGGCTACCAGCGCGACCTCTGTTGCAGGAAGACCCAGGTGTGCCTGTTAAAGGTGGGAGCACACTTCAAGAGGATCATCATAACGCCGATCGACAACTTTTTCAGCCTGTATGAGTTTCTCAGAGTACTAAACTGTTTCTTTGAGTTTTATGAAGACTTTCCAATGCCCAAACTGCATACTTTCTTGTTCACGTTCTCGTGCGAGAGCCGCGGCATAGCTGGTGTGAGAATCCATGGAACTGGTGGTAAAATCCTAGATATCCTGAAGTTGACGCTGAGAAACATCCCCACTCTGAAGTGTCTGAGACTGAACCAACTCCTCCTAGATGAATGCGAAGTTCCAGGCCTAATTGAATCCATGATAGGCAGCTGCCAGGACACCATGCGGAGATTGGAACTCCTCAACCTGTCCAAAGTCCCAGTTCCACTGCCAGAACTGGCCAGGTTCTCCAACCTGTTCCATCTAACCGTCAGCCCCCAGCACATGGACGAGGAAATGCTGCTGCTGCTGGGCGGGATGGGGCTGGTGTATCTTCATATTCTGCAGGACCCCTACACGTGCGACTGTGAGGCAGTGTCGTACGAGGCATGGAAGCTGTTGAAGGAAATTGCACCACAATTAAGAGTCATTTTAGAGATACAAGGCCTGACAAAAAAGGATCTTCTGTTCCAACCAAGAGCTCCTGTTTCTGAGGTGCGCTTTTCTACACCATATTCGAAGATGACAGCAGACATCGCCAGTACGATCGTGGAGCACTACAGCAAGACTCTCGAAGTGATAGTACAGAAACACCTTCCTAGAATTCAAGGTCCTAGATCTTTCCACGACAGAGGGGACTCCCACTTCTTGTTTATCGTACAGCATTGCCAGCGCCTACGCAAACTTGTGATTCGGGAGAGGTTGTCTAATGCCTCACTTATTTTATTGGCAAACAGAGGCAAGAGTCTAAAGTCGCTACTTGTTCGGCAGAATGCCCTCTTGAAGAAGTGCGACTGGCCAAAGTCTCCAGACTGGTCAACAGATTTTCACAGACATCTGAAGAAGACAGCAAGGTCGTATGAAGATTCCAAAATAGAAGTAGCAAAGGTGATGGGTCAATCGTGGAGGCCATTGAGAGATGACGAGTTCATGAGATTGTATTCTCGATAACGAATTGCTGTGTTTCTTCCGAAAGTGTAACCTACGCCTGAGTGTGGGTTTGTGATATCGTGACTTGCCCAGAACGTATGTACAGATGTAATGTTCAATGTCACATTGAATGGCTTTTGAAAAACTATATGACGTGTATCTTGAAGGACAATAGTATGGCTAGCAACGTTGATTGGCCTATGAACAAATGTGTATCTGATGGGGATGTTACTGAAGGACAGAGATCACGCCTGCATGTTAATGTTTACTAGACTTCTTGTAGTGTTTACATGTGTAACAATTATTATTACAGTTTGCTTTGAGCTATATGTTTTCTATATTGCTATTCAGTGGGTTAATTCATCTTTTTTATACAATTATTTTGTATTTGAAACACGTTTTCCTCACCTGGCTGAAGGTTGAGTGAGCAGAATATATGCATGGACTGACGTGAGTATCTCCTTCTCCGAAGCCATTGCAAGAATCAAACGGAAACGTTATTTTCCATAACAATGGTGACACCGCGTTTGTTCTATTATCCTTTTGGACTATATATCTGCTACATTTCTCCATGTCACAGCTGCTACCTCAATTTCATCCCACAGTTATGTTTTCTTTCTACCCAACCCTACTGTTGCAGTCTTTGGAGTGCTGTTGGTTCTCCTAACACTACAGCTTTTACCCCCAACCGATCCTATAGTTGTTGTTTCCCCCACCCTACAGCTTATACTTCTCCTGTCCAATGGCGGCATTGCCACCCATCTGGAAATTGCAGCTTCTTCCACAACATAACTGATACTTCACCCAACCTACAGCGGATACCTGCCCAAACCTAAAGCTGGAGCTTCCGCCCTACAGTACTTTTTACAGCTCCAAACTACAGTTTCTGCTTGTCCTTTGTTGTTGTTGATACTACCACCCCACATGACAGTTCCCCCTACCCGCAACCTACAGCCGTTACTCCTACCCTATCCCACAATTATTACATATATACGCTGATACTATACCACATGGGGAAAAGCCGTCTGAGGGAAGTGATCCAGGGAACTTACGGTGACAGTAAACTGTGACAAAGTACTGTGACTATGTGTCCCAGTCCACCCAGCTGTGAATGGCTACCTCGTAAGGATGGGAAAACCACTTTCACCTGGTGCGGCTGCAAGAGTGGTTTGATCCCCAGGAAGTTGAAATTGAAAATACGATGTGCCGTTGAGATTGACATCCAATGATCGAGGGAAAAACAAAGCACCTTTGAGCAGCTGAGCTTGATATTGGTTCAGTATATATCAGTATGTATGTATATGGTCCCATCACACACCACAGTGTGTACTGTACATTGAGATGTTCCCCGACGGGCCATCACACAACACAGTGTAGACCTGTACATTGAGATGTGCCCCAACGGGCCATCACACAACACAGTGTAGACCTGTACATTGAGATGTGTCCCAACGGACCATCACACAACACAGTGCGGGCCTGTACATTGAGATGTGCCCCAACGGACCATCACACAACACAGTGTAGACCTGTCCATTGAGATATGCCCCAACGGGCCATCACAACACAATGTGGTCCTGTACATTGAGATGTGCCCCAACGGGCCATCACACAACATAGTGTGGGCCTGTACACTGAGATGTGCCCCAACGGGCCATCACACAACACAGTGTGGGCCTGTACATTGAGATGTGCCCCAACGGGCCATCACACAACACAGTGTGGGCCTGTACATTGAGATGTGCCCCAACGGACCATCACACAACACAGTGTACATTGACCCCCAACGGACCATCACACAACACAGTTCATTGAGATGTGCCCCAACGGGCCATCACACAACACAGTGTGTACCTGTACATTGAGATGTGCCCCAACGGACCATCACACAACACAGTGTAGACCTGTACAATGAGATGTGCCCCAACGGACCATCACACAACACAGTGTGGGCCTGTACATTGGGATGTGCCCCAACGGGCCATCACACAACACAGTGTGTACATGTACATTGAGATGTGCCCCAACGGACCATCACACAACACAGTGTAGACCTGTACATTGAGATGTGCCCCAACGGACCATCACACAACACGGTGTGTACCTGTACATTGGGATGTGTCCCAACGGGCCATCACACAACACAGTGTGTACCTGTACATTGAGATGTGCCCCAACGGACCATCACACAACACAGTGTAGACCTGTACATTGAGATGTGCCCCAACGGGTATCACACAACACAGTGTGGGCCTGTACATTGAGATGTGCCCCAACGGATCGTCACACAACACAGTGTGTACCTGTACATTGAGATGTGCCCAAATGGACCATCACACAACACAGTGTGGGCCTGTACATTGAGATGTGCCCCAACGGGCCATCACAACACAGTGTGGGCCTTTACATTGAGATGTGCCCCAACGGGCCATCACACAACACAGTGTGGACCTGTACATTGAGATGTGCCCCAACGGACCATCACACAACACAGTGTGGACCTGTACATTGAGATGTGCCCCAACGGGCCATCACACAACATAGTGTGTACCTGTACATTGAGATGTGCCTCAACGGGCCATCACACAACACAGTGTGTACCTGTACATTGAGATATGCCCCAACGGACCATCACACAACACAGTGTGTACCTGTACATTGAGATGTGCCCCAACGGGCCATCACAACACAGTGTAGACCTGTACATTGAGATGTGCCCCAACGGACCATCACACAACACAGTGTGGAACTGTACATTGAGATGTGCCCCAACGGACCATCACACAACACAGTGTGAACCTGTACATTGAGATATGCCCCAACGGGCCATCACACAACACAATGTGGTCCTGTACATTGAGATGTGCCCCAATGGGCCATCACACAACACAGTGTGGGCCTGTACATTGAGATGTGCCCCAACGGGCCATCACACAACAGAGTGTAGACCTGTACATTGAGATGTGCCCCAACGGACCATCACACAACACAGTGTGTACCTGTACATTGAGATGTGTCCCAACGGACCATCACACAACACAGTGTGTACCTGTACATTGAGATGTGCCCCAACGGGCCATCACACAACACAATGTGGTCCTGTACATTGAGATGTGCCCCAATTTGCTATCACACAACACAGTGTAGACCTGTACATTGGGATGTGCCCTAACAGGCCATCACACAACACAATGTGGTCCTGTACATTTAGATGTGCCCCAACGGACCATCACACAACACAGTGTAGACCTGTACATTGAGATGTGCCCCAACGGACCATCACACAACACAGTGTGGGCCTGTACATTGGGATGTGCCCCAACGGGCCATCACACAACACAGTTTGTACCTGTAGATTGTGCATGTAGTGTGTTACTGGGCCTACATCTGTTCCAACATCAGTTTCAGATCGGTATTTGGCTGCTGTGGGGATAGTATTGACGTCACAGCGGTTTACGTTAAGCTATATAGTCAGGCAACATGACACCCTTACATATCTTTGTTTCTGCAGTATGCATGTACACTCTACCTACTTGGAATAGTTCAGAAGGACTGTTTAACACGGATATTGTTTATGTAACATTTTAATTACTGAGAATTGATGTCTAGGCATACATCCAATGAGTGCAGGTATGAACACAGAGATTTCTTGTTTACGTCAAACATCAGTTAAAATGGCTCTTCTGTGTATATCTTCTTTCAACGTGTCGATATTCTGCTCACCTTGATTAATGTGGCGAGGTTAGCGAGGCAACTACACACTTCAGTGACGACAATGGACAAATAATAGGCCGTCAACTCGCAATGATGTAGCAAGGAACATATGTCTTTGGTTTGCCACTGCCTTTTTCCAGTTATTTTCAATATGAAAACAAACGGAGAAACATCTTGTGCATTCCAGTTTCAGATTTTGACAATATTCCCAGAATTTAGAAACTAAATCACCTCGAAATGAGTTTCATAATTATTGAATTATATGTTACAAATTGTTTCCAAGCTGTTGCTGTCTTTCTACGTACAGTAACCATCTGTCTGCATCGTACTGACATGCATGCCTGCATTGTGCCATGCCCGCGTGGCAGTCCTAGAGCGGCAGTCCTAGAGTGGTAGGACATGTTAACCTACCCACATTGAAACTGGGCCTCTCAGCTGACTGGATTATATGTGTAATGTCCAGGTGAAAACCTCGTCAGCTAGAAACAATACTTTGTGTTGCTCCTCATTTTATATACCAAGTACACTTCACCGGGGATGTTGTAATACTATTGGTGTAGTTGTTCTGTGTAGCAAGTTAAGTAGCGTCTTACCTAGTCAGTTTAAGTGGAATACATGTATATGTTTGTGATACTTAATGCATAAGACATACTGTAATACTGATGTGAGGCATGTTGTTTACAATGTTCTGGACTATTACGACCCTGGTCATTCAGCGGCGCCGAGCTGACCGTGTCCTCGATTCCACTGATCTACTGAATAACGTTTTGATAATGCATTTGTATAATGTATATATTGCTATTGTCGCATTTACATATGCTGTTGTTTTATATGTGATTTCCAGTTTTTGTTCTTTTTTTCGTGATACTTCGGCTGCTCCAACAAATACCAGCGTAGTTCGACCAATGTGCCCTAGCCAATGAAACTGGTGTAAAAGCCAACTTCTTAATTCGCATATATCTACATGGCCCATCTGTTTGGAGTTGTAGATGGATGTGAGGGTGCAGCGAGAGAAGATGTGGCCATGTAAACCGTGGCGTCAAATACCACCAGCTGTCCAGGATCCTGTGATATACAGCACAACCAGAAATTATTGAGAATTTAAGATTGTATTTTTTTGTTTTAAAATTCACTCATTACTCACGTATTAAATGTGAATATTAGCAGAACATAACTCCAGATTCAAAGACAGGTGAACAGTTAGTAATTTGTCAAGTCACCATGGGCAGCAGAGCAGGCTTCAATGCGGCGGGGCATACTACTGATCAAAGAAGTTAGAAAGTCGTGGTCCATGCTGTCCGAATATCGGACCACCTCTTCTTTCATTTCAGCAATATTTGTCAGATTTTTCTTATTGACACTTTCCTTCATAGTCCCCAAACATTTTCTATTGGATTTAGGTCAGGGCTATAGCTTGGCCAATCTAATAATGTCATACTTTGGGTCCGAAACCAGGCCTGTGAATGCTTTGAACGATGTTTTGGGTCGTTGTCCTGCAGGAAAATCTACAAAAATACACAGAGGGGCGTTGCCCCTAACACAGATATGCCACCCCATACGTTAAATTTCGGACTGTACTTTGGGCGCTGATACAAAGGTTTTTCAGTTTGTTTGTTCCAGAATTTCAGTGTATTAGGAAACAGCCACTCAGAACTTTCATCTGAGAAAATCACATTGTCCCAGTTAAAATGTCTATGCTGTAAGCACCAGTTCAACCTTCGCTCCTTTTGTTCAGGTTTCATGATCGGTGATTGAATTCCTCGACTTTTCTGCCAACCCATTGCATGCAGCTCAGTTCTAATTGTCTCCTTACAGACAGCCACAGTTCCTCTATCAATCATATCCAGCCTTAAGTTTTCTAAACTCCTTCGTTTATTTTTAGAAACAAGAATACCAAGCCGCCTCCTGTCACCGACAGTCAATTTTTTGGGGCATACCTGCGCCTCCCTGGTGCTCAATGCCATATCCATTTGCAATATTTTTCAAAACACGATAAACAGTGGACAGATGGATGCCTGTTCTACTTGAAATCACTTTAGCTGATCTGATG